GGGGGAAGAGGTGGGTGGCAGCGTGGTATCATCACGTTCGAAGAGGTGCGCATAGGGGAATTGGGGGCATAGGGGTGGGGATCGGGACGGGGTTGAAGTGCTTGACAAATTTGGTTTGAGCAGTATGTTTGCCAGGTGGTCTTTCCTAGAATAGATGTCGACACTTAGCGCAGACAATACGGATACCATGGTGCTCCATTCCGGTCGGTTAATGGCCTGCCATGATTGTGTGTGAGTTAACCCCAACAAGAAATGCGATCTAGTTGGAAGACGATTGGAAATAATAATAATAATAATAATGGAATGGAATGCTGTGGTGCATATTTAAACTCCAATTATGAATGCAGTCTTCAAGAAACGAGTATTATTGTCAGGTGGGGTATAAGTAAGACGTGGGTTGATTGGTTGGTATCGTGCATTTCTACCGTCTTCACTCGAATATAACGCTAGTTCTTGGACTTGTAGATGCCCATCCGTGCGAGGGTGAAGGCATGTCTACCGTCTTTAGTCGAATACAAGGCCTGGCTGGTCATTCACATGTAGCTCGTGCAACTTCCGGTCTAGATGCTGCGATAATGACCGGGCGTTCTATTGGGTCGGGAAGAAGGTGTGGCTCTAGTTGTGAAGGGATGTGCTGGGGCTGTATGAGCTATTACGAGTGCTGCCGACTTGGTGTGCGTAATTCCTTTCTCTAACGAGACATGAGAAATATGTCTATGGACGTTGTTCGTATCTGAAGTGTCCACACATACACAAACACGTAAACACACACAAACACGTAAACACACACAAACACGTGCACGCACACACACACAGTCCCGCGCGCACACACCAATCCAGCCATCCACATACACACACACCCACGTGCACACACACCAACGCCCACACACAGATGCACACACGCGCACACACACTTGCACACCAGTGTGATGGCCGGAAACCCTACCAATGTGGACTGGGGGGGGAGCAAGCCAACAATCTCAGTGTGCGCAGGTAACGAGTTGAAAGTCTAACAGCTTAGAGATTTGTCTTCCAAGTGCGAAACGTACATGTGCAAACCAACAAAGCCACACCATTCATATAGAAACCGTTGCGCGAGAAGCCATTCACATGGAAGAAGAGGATAGGAGCAGATGACGAGTGCAGTCCAGACAAAGATGTTCCAGCGGTGGTAATGACCTGCCAGGGACTCTACCTAACATCGTAAAACATGGAGATGAAAATGGCGGTGTGGACCTGAAACCAGCAGCGCTTCAGGCCTTGGTAGCCGGTACCGAGTCGGGAAGAATGATGCTTACTTGTGAGATTTCTGGAGTAAACTACCTATGAGATTTTCTAGTGTCAACTACGTATGACATTTTCTAGTGTCAACTACATATGAGATTTTCTAGTGTCAACTACCTATGAGATTTTCTAGTGTCAACTACCTATGAGATTTTCTAGTGTCAACTACCTATGAGTTGTTCTAATGTCAACTACCTATGAGATTTTCTAGTGTCAACTACCTATGAGATTTTATAGTATCGAGTACTATCAACTGCCTATGAGATTTTCTAGTGTCAACTACCTATGAGATTTTCCAGTGTCAACTACCTATGAGATTTTCCAGTGTCCAGTGTCAACTACCTATGAGATTTTTAGTGCCATCTACCGAGAAGTTTCTGGAAGAAGTTGCCATCCAGGTACCCAATCTGCACGTTGAACTAAACTAAGCTACAAAAGAAAGCTTGATTAGAACAGTCGGCAGTTGGATTGGAACAGTCGCCAGCTGGATTGGAACGGTCGCCAGCACTCACGCGTCACAACGGAATTAAACTACGAAGTAAAGCTAAATTCGAAGTCATCGGTTCCAAAGCTTATTCCTTCAGAATTCCGGGCAGAATTCAAAGAAGTGCAGAACCCAAGTAACATGAGGTCCCGTTTTTGAATCAACTAACTGCAACCGAACAGAGTCACAACTCCAAAGTACCTCTCCTCGGTGTCCGGACGCAAAGGACAGGCGCTGCACTATGAAACGTTCAGGTGGTAGGGAGGGTGGTCAGATAGCACAAACAGAAAATAGACGACAAGCGGTGCTATGAGGTTAAGACGGCAGAATGCATGCTTGGCCTGAAACGGATGCAGCTTGCCCGGTTGTTTGCTTGCCAGCTTGTCTGTGTGCCGGCACAGTTGCATGGCCGGGGTATGTAGAAAGGAAGTTTCTTGTTTGGGAGGGCCCTCTTGGCAAGCGGGGTTTTTATTTGACAACCAAAAGCACTGATCTTTTCTGCTTCTAATTTGTCCGTGAGGGGGGGAGGGGGACAGGGAGGTGGGAAAGGACTCTTTCAACCCTTCGATTTTTCTAAAAGGGTCCCCTCTAGACCTTGATATAAGCCAGACCCAGTAAATATTACCTTCAAACCTTTCAACGAGCTACATGCTTTTTTTAATGAAACAATCATTGCTGTGTCTCCCCCCTACCTCTTTGCTTTGCTGAAACCAGGCAAAACAAGAACAAACATATAGAAAAGAAGTAATGGAAAAGACCAGTGAACGCACATATAGACGTAGGGGAGACCAGTGAACGCACATGTAGATGTAGGGGAGAAGAATAGGAAGGTACCAGTGAATGCACTTGAAGAAAAGCAGAGACGTTGTCCTCATAAATACGAGTGTGTGTGTGTGTGTGTGTGTGTGTACACGTCATGTTCACTACACACGACTCCAAAGAAAAGACACTGGTGTTGGACTGTTTCGTCACCAGCGAATGCACAAATTGGACAACTAGAAGGAAGAACTTAGAAGAAGCGAACCGATGTTTATATGAAGAAATAGGCACTATCGTCTTGTGTGTGTGTGCTGTGTGTACGCGTGGTCATGTTCACTATGCACAATTACAAAGAAAAAGGCACTACGTGTCAGACTATTGCGTCTGAATTTGCCAACTCACAAGGTGGTACCCTGATAGTTTGCCCAGGATTCATGTGAAAGTTTGTTGCCTTGTGCCAAACACGGCTACAATGACCGGGCGCTCGGGTCGGTGAAGACGGTAGGATTCTTGTTACTTTACTCGTGCCAACCCTATGATTCTTTTTACTTCTTTTGTGAGGTGGAGCTGGGGCTCTGCCCCTGCTCCTAGATCCAAGGTGCAGGTCCTTGTGGCCTGAAAGACATTGTCAGGTGGGGAGTTTGGCTGGAGCGGCACATCTATTAGAAGATAAGGCAGGGGGCAAAAGGTGGGGAGTTTGGCTAAAGGGCACATCTATTGGATGAGCTCAACGAGAACAGAAATCTTGTGTGGAGCAGAAGGGCGATAGCGCATTTGATTGTGATGGCACATCTGGCAGACCGATTTCGACTTCAGTTAACTTTCGACTTATCTCGAGTTAACTTCCGACTTATCTTGAGTTAATTTTCGACTTGAGCTAACTTTCGACTTATCTTGAGTTAACCCTTGTAGTGACGATGATTGAACTTGATCATTTGTAACATTTGTGATTCCGATGTTTTCGTTGGTTGCGTCCTCTAGTCCTTCCCTTTGGTACCTTTGGGATTAGTCTTGCTAGCCTATTGCAATGTCTCACACACCCTCAATAGGGTAGAGAGGGAAAAAAAAAAGTAAAAAAAAGTTAGAGAGTAAGGGAGTGCGGTTGCGATCGGAATTGGAGCTTCAAGCAGTATGTCGTCAAGAGCTTCAAGTAGTACATGACATCAAGTTGCTTGTATCGCTAGAAATTTCAATGGGAAAGAACATACCTCCAGCCTATGGTTTGTACGGTTGTATTGCAGCTTGTTGTGGGGTTCTTTAGTGCTTCGTGCTGTGCGTTCCGTATAACACACTCAGACGTAGAATGTACGAAACTCGAAAAGTTTACTCTTTGGAATCTTGGCCCCGTGTTTATCTGAAAGTTTAAAGTCCATTCTGCGAAGTCCACTTGTTTCACAGCATGCAAGCTCGTAGGCCTTGCCAGGATGAACGTCTTTCTCTACCCTCTATTTTTATGTGCGAGTGTCAACAGGCGGGGATTCCTGCTGCCATGCATTCAATGGCAAAGACAGAGTGACCGTCTTGCTCCCGTTACACATATCGAGTTGCGATGATGACTGGGAGAGAGTGACAACATTGCTCCTATGCAAATGTTTACGTGAGTAAGGGTATGTTCATAGGATTGCGTGTCCTAAACATCCGCCACACAACCAAAATGTTCACGTTGCCGAGGGGTATGTTTGGATGAGAATTATGTATACAAAGCTCTGAACGCGCTCAGATGCATCCTAT